GTGTGATTATTCTATTCAGTAACCTTCCCTAAGTTGCAACAGATTTTTATGAAAAACAACAAGTCCTTGTTGATCCGGATAAATTTCGAAATTAACACTGTATTTAAGCTAATTTAGACATACATTTTTATTACATGCCTGTATGCATTTTAAAACTAGAATGCAAACAATTCAAGACTCAAGAACCACTAAAGATAGAGAATTATTCATAAAATAATAATTATAAATTGATTAGTGAGATATCAATGAAAAAAGTATATGAGAGGAAGTGAACATTATTACAATAGGAAGGATAGATAATGATTGATTCTTGACATGCATGAATATAGCAGTTGTTATATGTAACGTCTATATTGATTACTTGAATTATTTACATTATTCAGATTTTCATTCTTATCCTCATTAACATATTCACAACGTTTCGGCCTTCTACGCTCTGGCCTTCTTCAGGTGATTGGAGTATCAAACGTAGCCTTTTATTTCGTCCACCGGGGTAGATAATTCCAGTTCCCTGCCTCTTTCTGATATCCCAGTTACTTCCCTTTAATTCAAATCTCCAAGGTTTTGGGTCATCTGGTATTGAACCCACAACACTTTGGGTACAGTCACTGGATTTAACCAACGTCTTTATCCACATGGCCATGTGTCCTTGAAAACATCTATGTATAAATGTTTGGGACTTATAAGCCTAATGTCTCAGAAACCATTTTTACCAGTGCTCATATTGCAATTTTTGTTTTTATTATTCCTTTGTTTTACCAGAGCTTATATTGCAATTTTTGTTGCTATTCATTGTTTTTCTCTAGCACTCATTATTACTGGTTCTTAGATTTTCATTTCTATGCATGGTCGGCTCAGGAGATTTTTGTGGCCTAGCATATTTGCTGATTCCTTAAGTTTTCCAGTGATATTGTCTGTCTATTATTTCAACCTCATCCCACAGAGAGCGGTGATCTCCCCCCTTTTTTTTTCAGACGTGGTCAGCTACGCCTGATTTTTCTGATTTATGGCAATGAAGATGAGGATAACTGTCCGAATAATGTAAATAATGAAAGGAATCATAATATCTCATCTATAGACAGAAAAAGAAATGTGTTTCGTTCGTTGTACACACCGGCCATCTTCAGATGATATTAGAATTTCGAACCGAACTCTTTATTTCTTGGAAATATGGGGACTTACTATTAAAACAGGAGTAAACACTTGTGTCACCAGCGTAAATACCTAGTTTGAAACTGATGACATAATTATTGTATGGCTAGTTTCCATTATATACATAACCTCAATCTGTAAGTATTACATTTGCATGCGAAACATTTTGTCTATATTTCTGAGTTTATACTATTTACATTGTTTGGACTGTTGTCCTCATCTTTATTTTCATACTAGCAGTAGAACCCGGCGTTGCCCGGGGATGTAACAGTAAGAGATAGATCAAGTATCGACCATCATAAAGACTGAAAATTAAAATTGACAAAGATTATTGTTTAAGGTTGACGGACACGCATGTCTTAATTAGTTTTTTTTGGGTTTTTTTTACGAATTGGTCAAACCCAAACTCAAACAAAAACATTGTTTTCAATCGTTATGAGTCTCTACCGATTGAATAGAATTTAATTATAAACAATTGTCTTATAAATGAAATTTTTAAAGCATTCTGAATGTAAAAATAAAGAAAAAAGTGTGCAAGACAATAAGAAACACTACATGCCAAAAAAAGTGAAGTTTTGTTGAAATCGGTTGAAAAATGTAGGTAGCCTTTCTGTAATCTTTTAGTTTTACAATTTATGATTTTTACTTATTGAATACAGTAAACAAATTGCATATTTTGCTTGTGGTGATTCATAATTAGAATTCTGATTTGAATATATTTTCCAATCGTTGTTTCTAATACAAAAAATATTAACTTTATTTGGGTTTATTAATTATGATCTAACAAATCTTATTCATTTAGTAGCCTTTCTGTAATAATAATCTTTTACCATTTATGATTTTTACTTATTGAATACAGTAAAAAAAATTGGACACCATGTGTATTTAAACTAAAGTAGATTCCGGTTATTATTTTTAGTTAGGAGGACTTGTGTATGTTTAGATTTCATTATCTTTCCCTAAAGATAAAGAATTATCCGATGTTTGGATTCGTACAATCAGTAGAAATCGTTAGATTATTGTTTAAGGTTGACGGACATGCATGTCTTAATTATTTTTTTTTTACGAATTGGTCAAACCCAAACTCAAACAAAAACATTGTTTTCAATCGTTATGAGTCTACCGATTGAATAGAATTTTATTATAAACAATTGTCTTGTAAATGGAATTTTAAAAGCATTCTGAATATTAAAAATAAAGTAAAAAGTGTGCAAGACAATAAGAAACACTACCTGCTAAAAAAAAAAGTGAATTTTTATTTTATCGGCTGAAAAATGTAGGAAATCCGATCCCATATTGAAAGGAAGCCACACACACAAACAACCCCATGTGAGTTGTCCCCCTTTCATTCTCACGATGTCTCTTAATCGTGTTTTCAAATTGATTTTGTGCAAAAACAATTGTATTTTTTTCCATTTTTGGCGCTGTTAGAACCACCACAAGGTAATTTTATGTAGTCCTGTGAAGTTTTGTTGAAATCGGTTGAAAAATGTAAGAAATCCGATCCAATATATAAACGTTGCACACACACACACACACACACACACACACACACACACAATCTGCGTTTTATAATAAGTTAGATTCACGACGTTTCGGTCGTTGTACGATCCGGCCTTCTTCAGGTGATATACGTTGGAATTTCGAAGGACACATGACCCAGTGGATAAAAGAGTTGGTCGAAGTAATCCAATGATTTGACCTAAAGTTTTGTCAGTTCAATACCTGGTCAGAGCAGAGGTGAACAAAAACTTGGAGAATAGAGTTAAAAGGTAGATAACCGATAATAAGAAATCCGAAATAGACATGGCACGTGGAACTAGAATATTAGAATACTAGAATATTCTACACCGTTGAACGAAATAAAGGATTCTATTCGAAATTCCAATTCTCTTGAAGAAGACCGGAGCGTATAACGGCCGAAATATCGTGAATATGACAATAAGGATGAGGACAGCACTCCGAACAATTTGTATTAGTGTAAGTAGTTATTATACCTCATCTCAAAAATATAGACAGATGTTATATTTTTCCAAGTATTTTTATGCTTAATAATTCGCAAAGTTTCTTTTCAATTCATTTTTTTTAATTGAAGTTTTAAATTTATGCGAAATTTGAAAATTTAGCACGGAGTTAAAAACTTCTCAATCCATGGTTATATAGAAAAGAGATTAAATCTCGCAAATGAACAAATGAGGAGAGTTCGTTTTGAATTTATAATAATAATAATAATAATAATAATACGTAAAATGTGTGTGAGATTAGGGATTTATTTTATTTTATATTTTTTTTACAAAAAATGATCAGTGGAAAATGCCATAAAGCCATTTCTAATTGGGACTTGGATGAAATGTGTATGCTACAGATATCTATAATAATAATAATAATAATAATAAGAAGAAGAAGAAGAAGAAGGATGAGGAGGAGGGGAGAAGAAGAAGGAGGAGGAGAAGAAGAAGAAAAAGAAGAAGAAGGAGGAGGAGAAGAAGAATTGAAGCAATTAATAATAATAATAATGATTAGAAGAAGAAGAATTGATGTAAATAATAATAATAATAATAATAATAATAATAATAATAAAAATAATAATAAAAATAAT